ATATAATTTTTTATGAATTTATAAGTTTCTAAACTTTATAACAAAAAATATAATCTTATATTTTCTTATGGTAATAATTAAAAATTGAATGACATTCCGAATTAATAACTTCGTGAGTTTTGATATTATTTATGTTTAACTTCTAATTGTAATTTATTTTCTGATTGTAATTATTAAACTGATAATATCGTAATACAAAGACCTCAATTTATCATGCATTTCACAACTTGTCAGTTTTCTATACATAATTTTATTTATATCCATAAACATAAACTCATCATCTCTTGCGATTTATTATCATCCTACTCCAAAAAATGCGCCTACTTCAAAAATCTCTTGAAATATATTGGCTCTTTCTCATAGATATCTACCCACCGCCAAGAACAAACCGACGAGATGTATTTTTTTGCAAGCCAATAAAGAGAAATTTATTCGCTTGTATTGCGTAAGTAATCACATCATGCTTGTTTTTTTCTGCAAATAACTTAAAAATTACTGCAATTTTTTGAACTCAAAGGTTAAAAGATTAATATTTGTCTAGTATAATACATACAATATTCATTTTGCAATAATGGAATTAATTCACTTCACCAGAATTAGGCCACGTCAATCAAACTCGCAAATACAGAAAAAATCGTAATTACCGAAAGAATCAGATGGCTCAAAACCCCATAATTTTTTTTCCGATTGTCGTTAATGTCTTTTTAATCGGTGGTATAATGAGTTTCTCCGACCATGTGTGTACTAGAAAAATGCGGCGATTGCACTCAGGCAACCGAGGACTTTGCCAATTGCAATTACGCAATGCGGAAGAGATCACGTATGTATACATACGGTCGTTTGTGCATTCATGCAAAATATTGTCAATGTTAAAGTGACGATGAAAATACTGAGTATCCATTTGTAAATGTATAAAAAACAAATTCCAATTGAGAGACGAACTAGTTTTGTTTTAATTTAATGAGAAAAAAAAAGATTGTTACAACATGCTACGATGTGGAAAGTATTCGTACTTCTCTGGGAAAGTATGGACATTTGTGCACACTGTGCACACGATTTATATCACATGTCGCAATAAGGCTGTTGCAATATGGTCGCATTAAAATAAAGTTTACACTAAATAAATATAAAACTTACATGTGTATATATATTTTTATATAAATAAATTTTATTATATAATATGATAATTTAAAATATTTCAATACAAATTAATTTGTCTGTAAGTTATAAAAATTATCGAACATTTTGAAGTAAGAAAAAACTCAAATATTAAGGAAGAGAGAGAGCGCAAGTTTATTCTATAGTATTTATAAATTTTAATATTTTCTTTCAGATGACACAGACTCTGTTATATTTCTTAACATATATGAATTAATTCTATAAAACTTATCAACATATCGTATTCATAAGGAAATGAAACAAGCTGTATAATTCAATAAAAATACAATTGAGTAAAATATATCTGACGATAAAATTCCAAACCCGCATATACTACGCGAGAGAATTGAATTTTAAGTATTCTAGTAATCTTAATCACAAGTACAAGTTGCGAGGATACAAACGGTGCGTTTCAACGTGATGGCGACCGCTTTCACCAGCTCACGCATTTCTCGATACAATTCCATTCGAAAGTTACATCTCGCAACTTGACTGCCGCGAGAAAGATGGGTCGAAGTAAAATCTCTAGAACAATATTTGTTTTATGTAACAATGATAGGCGGCGATAAGTATAGTAATGAAGATCGATCGCGAAACCGCAGCTGCAGATAGGTTCCTTGAATTGCATCTAAGCAGCATAGATGGTGATATTATGTCACAAGAATGCAAATCACGGAAATCTTTGCCACCGATGTGTATAATATCGCAGCATAATAATCTCACGCGCGCTTGCTCCGCAGTAAAGCCGTAAGGCTGAGTTATAATGTTAATACGTGGTTGCGTAAATCGCGAATCTCGTAGCACGTTTCGCCCAGCATAGCGCGATGTAAAATTTTGGCAACAATTCTGTTTGTTTTTGTCTAGACTAACTTGACATAATAAATTTTTATTTTTGCTTGTTTCTCTTTGCAATATCTATATATCCCATTTCTAAATCCTGAGATCCTTTCTTGTATATCCCAACAATAAAAAACTTTTAAATTATCCATATATATATATTTTTTTAATCGTTGCTGTAATTTGAATAATACTTAATCAGCAAAATGTTATTGTTCTTAAACTATCATCTTCTCAAATATTGAAATCTCTGTCAAAAAAATTTCTCGATATTAAAGTCCGCGTTAAAAGTAAATTTATTAAAAGCAGCGATAAAAAAGTATTCTACCAACTCAATTTGTTGGTGTAAATTAAGCGAAGCAATATGGCAAAATTGCATTGTGGCAAAGTCCGTGACTTTTGTAAAACCGGAAAAGATGACGAGTAAGGCCAACAAAGTAGGAACGCCTTCTTAGTTTCGTCGCCAGACTAATTAGACTGACGTACTGCATATTTTAATAATCGCCTGGTTAATCTCCGCGCCGCCGAGGCGTCAGAAAAGATTTCGTCACGTTAATATTCAGCGGACTTCTTAATGGACACCTCCGACTTTTGCTCCCTGTTCCACTTTTTCGGTTCCACAACATCGCTTCTCATCGCATAGATTACAAAATAGTAAAAGAAAAAATAAATTACTTCTATTAGGGGAACCATTAACGGACCTCGGATTACCACAATTTTCATTATTCGAGTTTTGATACTATTATAATTTAATTTCTCGATCTCGATGATAATGTGCAACGTTTTTATGATACTTTCTGTATGCAAAATTAATGAGAATAGCAATTCTTAATTACATCGTCATAAAATAATAAAGTCTCTTATTTTTTTACTTAAAAAGATTTGTTTATTAAAAATTTTATATAAAACTTTATTTGCGCGAGAGAAAAGATTAAAATAAAATTGAGATAAAATAGAGCGTATTATCCATCATAAAATGCAGTAATAGGTAATCTACTGTAATAACGATAAAGGTTGCTATGTTTTTAGAACGATGCGAGAAAAAATATATATGACGTAATTAAGAGATGTCCTCCCCGGCAATATAAAAAGCTTGCCAGAATTCGAGGGATTTAGGTGACACCGTCCACGCCATTGTTTGTTCCACAATGCACGCATTCACAACGCACTCTGCTAAATCCGTTGCTCGAATGTACAAATCCGCCAGCGGCCATTATTGAGCTTAATACCCGTCGCGATGTATCATGTCGAGCGTGCCGTTATGCTTGTTTCATATTTAGAAAAACAAAGAGTGTTACGTTCAAAAATTCTACAGCAAATGCAACTTTTATACCTATGGATTATTATCGTAAATATAAAATACAAATGCAAAATATATGTAAATTTTCTAATTTTATTTATGTATTAATCTCTTTAAATATGACATCACATACACATATACACACACATATTAAATATATGTGCTTTATAAAGATGTAGCTGATGAGATGTCTCATCTGATTACATTGAGAAATGGTTACCCATGCAATTCTGACGATATTAAAGATTGTAACGGTACCTCTAATCGGCCTGTCACTTTTACTCGAACAGAGTAGGCGAGCAATTTAATAGTCAGCCAGTCGAATGACCGACTAAACTTCACGAGAGTGACTGACCTTCGTTGAGCGTATCCTTGACACGCTTTCGAAAAGCTAGCCGCCAGCACGACGTGGATCACGTTTAGCATTTGTAATTTGCTAAAGAAGATTTTGCCGAAGATGACGAACATACATATACCACATGGTAGGCACAATCACGCGAGCCATGTTACGTAAATGTCTATTATGGCGCAATGCATACTGATAGAGTGATCAAAGCGAACGGTTCTACCTATCGACACGCGACTACATTGTCACTCTAGCGCTGTCAATACACAGACACACACAATAGCAAAACACAATATAATATCTCCGAAAATACGATGCCAATACCAACGTTCTTTCTGCATATCTTTCTATAAGTAGCAAAGTATTAAACCAATATCAATAACATATTAGTCACAATTAAATTAAAAAATATTGTTCTCAATGTCATTAAGCCAATCAAAAAAGAAAAAAAAGTAACAGTATTCTA